GGAACTCTCCTTCCGTCCACGCGAGGTCCACGGCGCGCAGGCCTGAGAGTCGCTCCACGTCGGTAGCTGCCATGATGATCTACAGCCGCGCCATCAGCGAGCATCGTCCACCCACGGAGAAGGAAGTGGCCATGCTTGAGAGGATCGAGGAGCGTGAGCAGCGAATCGCCGAGGCCAGACATCGTGTGGAGGTTGAAGAGGAGCATCGGGAGCAGGAGTTCATTCAAAAACAGCTGAAAAAACTAAAGCAGTCCATGCGGAACATAGTGGAGAAGGAGTACAAGAGAAACACGTCCATCAACTGTCTGCGAATAAAGCGAGAGGAGCAGATGATTATGATTCGTGAGCGACAGAGACGCATTGATGAGGAACGACAATTTCGGCGGGAATTGCGCGGAAGTGATAGGACTGCGTTGCGTGGGAATTCTGTGTACCCAGAGTCTCACTGCTAGGATATTCCTATAAGAGGTGGTAAGGTTTTTCGCTTTCTCTTAAAGCACTCTCCTAACTGATGTAGTAGCGCAGTTCCTCCCGTCAGGTGATGATGCGAAATCCGGAATTTTGGCTATTGCGCCCCAGTCATCTATCTTCCGTTCTGTGCTGAAGTAGAGTGCGTTGCTGCTGCCGCTGTGGAGCTGTGGAGCTGTGCGTGGAGTTTGGAAAAGTGCATTTAGGTTTTATTTATTTTTGTATTACTGGGTCTGGGGATCCGCGCGTGTGGGGTGGTGGCTGATGTGGCTTCGTGATTGTATAGTGGGAATGGGCCCTCGATCCACTCGTAGCGAGCACCTGCGACACAGCAAGTGGATGTGTGGCATGTGATTAAGCTAGGAGCATGTCTGTCATGGTCACCTATGACTGTGTGTGCGTCCTAGATGAAACCGGCCCAACGTCGTCTTCTGGCAGGGTGTGGGAATGCGTCTCACACTCATCCCGTGCGTATGGACCTGCCGTGAACGTTGTGAGAGTAGAATGGGATGGGCCGGGAGTGGCTTTATTATTATTTTTTTTTTCTGGAATGCAATTTGCTCGCTCCGTGTGTTTTGCACGCTTAACCTGACTTTGCTCTTTGCCTTGGGGGGGCTTACTTTGGCCACATGCACTCTCTCAGTCTGCGCCTTGCAGGGTCATTTAACTTTGCATCCCATCTATCTTGTTTTTTCCTTCTGGACATGATTGCGCGACGATAAAACACAAAAAAAGAGAAGCGAAAAAATGGCTGACGTGACGTCGCAGAAGGCGCCACCTGTTGCTGGGGTGCCAACGCCGCCAGCTGCTCATCCCCCAGTGAAGGTGTCGGTAAAAATGCCTTACGTGTTGCCTAGGCCACCGCTTGCTCAGCTGGCATCAAAGAAGGCTCCTGTTTCGAAACGGAAAAGGGACAGTGACGAGGACGACGAGGATGTGACGGTGCTCGGACTTGCAAGTGTCTCCAAGAGGCCAAGGCCGGAAGAGCTCAAAAGGCGGGGGCGAGCGCTTTCGGAAAGCGGCAGCGACAGCGACAGCGACAGTGGTAGTGATTACGACAGCAGCAGCAGCAGCAGCCAGAGTAGCAGCAGTGAAAGCAGCCGAAGCAGCGGAGATGAGGACGGAAGTTCTTCGTCCTCTACGAACAGCTGCAGCAGCGACGAGCCCACGCTGTTTCAGATTGCAAAGGCGAAGGGTCTTGTCGGCGACTGCGTCGAGAATAAGGTGGACGAGGAACCGGAGGAAGTGGCACCTGTTGGGCCACCACCGCGTCCGCCGATTGTGCGGTCCTTCCCTAAAAATATGGAGCATGCACTGCAGCGCTACGAGGAACGCTTGAATCGCGAGGAGAACATGATCCGCATCAAGGACGATAACAAGGCAGTGTCGCTGGGCACCAGCAAGGTCAACTACATTGACCCCCGCATCGTGTGCTCGTGGGCAAGGGAGCACAGCGTGCCGATAGGAAAAATATTTTCCGCCACACTTCAAAAAAAGTTCCCGTGGGCCATGGGGGCAGAGAACTTTTCGTTTTGATATCCAAAATGGATACGTATTTATTGATGTCTTTACGATGGCTGTGGCGCAGCTGCCCGATCCCTCCTTTTTTTTGTTGTTGTGGTGTGGGGGGAGTGGGTAAAGTTCGTTTTGGCGGTCTTTCTCGTCCCACGAAGAACCTTTTTTTCTTTTTTTCTTTTTTACATATATATAAAAAAAGGTACAACCGAAGATAAAAAGTAAAAAAAACGTTCATATTTGTGTCCAGGATGGAAATACTGAAACTATGACGACTGCTCGTTGCCAGGTTTGTCGCACACGCGTGGTGCGAGAGCGGTAAGGCGGTGTCTGGGAAACTAACTGTTGTGCCTTTTGCGTCACGCCCTCTCCTCCGCAGCAAGTTTCCAACAATATGTATTACTCCGTTTCTTTTTGTTTATACATTTGCGAACCTGAGGGAGGACATCACCCAGAAGCATGAAAACACGGCGAAGCCAGAAAGGAGGAGGAGGGGTAGCCTTACAGAGCAACCTCCACCTGCACCAAGAAACGAATGCGCGAAAGCCCCGGTGAATGTTCCCTGCGGCAGGAAGAGATGCACGGCAAGTCTGCGTCAACGAGCTTCATCACTTCAGGCTGTCGGTTCCAGGGTTGCTTGTCGGCACATTTATCTCCATCATGTTTGGGGTTGGGGCGGTTGGCGCCTTCATCCAGGAGCGTCACGGCTTTTCGCGGAGGGAGCTCATCGCCACCGCCGCGGTGGGTTTGATGATGGGGCAGTTTTTGCTTCCGTATGATGTTTTATATGTTTTTACCGGACCTAAGCCAATGTTGTACGTTTCCGTTGGCCTTCTTTTTTTGTTGGTGTGTTCACCTGGAAACACTCCTCATTGCGATGACTTTTTGGGGACAAGTGACGGGAGGTGTCATTAGCTGATCGGTCTTCTGCTCCCTGAGGAACATTTGTCGCACCACGTTTGGCTTGACGTTGGTTATGTAGCCCTGACTGCGTGGTTTTTATGAAACTGTGGCTGCGTCATTGGACTGCTGAAGGCAGATGGCTGGGCTCGGAAGCTCCGTTCCATCAACGAGTTACATGTGCTTTCTCTTTGGTAAGTACACGAATTGCAGCTGCTTTTCTGATTATTACTGTCTTTGGGTTTGGCAGAATGAATCTCCTGCTGTGAAATTTGCCGCCGTACCGCATGCTCAAGTGCCGCGTGCGCCACTACACGGGGGAAAGCTGGAGGAACTCCAGCGTCCGGAAGACGCCTTTCTCCTGCAGAGACATCCCGTGAAGATGTTTTACGTTGATTTTGACATGATTTTATTATTATTATTATTTGTTTTTCTACTTCTTCTCCTTGTGGAGGTATTTATGAACGTCAGTGGGGCTCTCTGCGCCGCCTTTTTTTACCGTGGCGATGTTGCTCGTTCCCAGCATGCCGATACCAAAGGTACTGCTGCCGGTGTTTTCCCTGCCACGGGTGCTTGGTTCAGGGGCTGCCGACAGGTGGATCTGTGGATCCGCTTCATTGAAGGCTTGTGCGTGGGGGGGGGGTGGCTAAACGAACGTGCAACGCGTTGTGTGTTTTACTGCACGACGGCCTTGACAGCGGTCTCATAAGCCACGACGAGACGTAAACACCGGCGGGCAGCCGTTGAAAGAGGAACCCTTATCATCACTTTCTCTACTTTGTGGCGCCGACGCCTTTATGGCTTTGCGGCACGTACCCCTCCTCACGACTCCACCGCACTGGCGATCCCCATGCTCTATTCAAGGGCCTTGACGAGGCCAGAAACGGGGTGTCAAGGACGCGGACGCGTGTGCGACATTTGTGTCATTGCGCTTGTGCTGACGCCGGTGGGGTTGCTACTGGCTGTGTGGCTGCAACCCCACCCACCGCTCTCACATGCGATGGAGGGCTGCCGCGTTGCAGGAGCCTCTGCCCCCTTAGAGGAAAGTGGCAAGAAACACAGCCATCATCGACAGCAGTGGGTGGCACCAACACTGCAATTGCCCCTCTCCACCACCACTTCACGACCCGGGCATACTTCCCTCGGTATTAAGTTTTTTTGTTTTTACTTTTATTTTATTGTTGTTTTTGCCCTCAGTCCCCACATATGGCTGCATCACTGAGGACTCTGTCAAGTCTCCGTCAGCGGCGCAGTCGCCTGTGGACGTATTTCATCCCCACATTTTTTACATGGTTCTCACGGCACCGTAAGTTCTTTTTTGTTTTCTGCTTGCGTTTGCGTGTTGTTCTCCGTCGTCTCGCATGGCCCTCGCCCTTTTTCTCCGTCTCTCCTCAACACTGCACTCTCCACACACGCACACGCACACGCACGCGTGCTTTCTGGCAGAGATGCACACAAAATTAATATCCCACCACAAATATGGGGGACCAGCGGACGGGTCGCCGACTGTGGACAACGCCGCCAACCTAACCGCCGCTAACGTCACCGCCGCCAACGTCACCGCCGCGGAGACTGCGGTGAAGCAACCGCCAGCCACCACGCACAGAGGAGGCTCGCCTCCTCCCGTGCAGCCAGTGTCGGCGGAGTCGCCGGAGGCAACGGCCGCTGAGCGTCGATTTCAACCTAATCATAATCATCGTCTCTTTAAACCGCCGTCGGACCCGCTGAACAGAGCCACGATGAATGGGGAGGGTCGCACGGTCGTTGTGTCGCTGGACAACTTTGAGCGAGCGCCAAGAGTCAAAGGCGTGCTGAACAGCCCCAGAAGTCTGAAGGCCTGCCGCATTGAGGAAGTGGATCCGACCGAGTTGCTGCCGCGCAAGGTGACAGATTTCATGGGGGTGGGAGTGCCGCAAGACCTCGCGAAGTTGCGTCATGACTTCTTTGAGCAGCGGCGGGGGGAACGTGTCGAACGCGTCCGCCGCACCCGCAGTAAGTTGTTGGCTGAAGAGAGAAAGCAGTTCC